ATGAAATTCATAATTTTTGTTCCCCTTCACCCATAGATGCTATATGCTAAAATTGGTTGAAATTGGTTGAGCGGTTTCAGAGAAGAAGCTGAAAATGTTCAAATGTCAACGCACGATGGACGACGGACGACGCACGCCGACGGACAAAAACGGATAGCAATAGGTCACCTGAGTGACTCAGGTGACCTAAAAAAAACAAAATGACAAACGTCAAATACGAAAATGAACACGTTTCTTCCTTAACCAAATTTTACTTTTCAGGTATACTGTGTAGCACATTTAACATTGTTTAAAGGAACCCGCAAACAATATATTTTTCTTGTATTTTGGATCAATAACGTCGAAATTTCAATTGAACATTGGAAATGAGTGAGGTAATGTACTTTGTTGTCCTATATAAAGCGCTTCATGTAACAGGAAGCAGTTTTTGCTGGGTTTTAACCAATGAGATTTGTTGTACAGTATTAAAATGACTGTATTTAAAACGGAAGTAAAACAAACCAGAAAGTCGTATGCGAAATATTTCCAACTAACATCGCTAAAATTTGAATGCGCACCTTGGCGCCACCAATGGTTTACTTAATGTGCAAATTTTCACTTCAATGTGACTATGGCACGTGGCGCAAGCCTTTCCCAATCACTGTTCAACAGTTTGTATCTTTTTCATAAATGACCAAAAACCAAAGCAAGGTGCCATGAATATCAATGATGTAAAAACATTCAGGAAGAAAGTCCTTAGGTTTAGATATGTAGGAGCTTCCTGGACAAATAAAATGAACCCTTTATGCAAGAGTTAACATAAAAATAAAAAATACCAACAACTAGTATATTTGTCATAAGTGATCCAAAACAAAGTCCAAACACTTATCAACTCTCTTCCAAATGTACAACTGATTTGCACCATAAAAAAATCCTATCTCAAAAACTGTAGGATGCAATACCCTATAAGAAATATTTTGCACAAACATCTGGTATTTTCCCAGCCACTAATCAAAAATCAAAATCAATGTACTAAACATATCTCTTATATAAATATGTACAATTTCTCTGCACAACAAACTCCTTACTTTGAAAACTGTTGATGGGATTATCCAGACATATGATATGCCAAATTAAGCAATATTTGGCATCGAAACTGATAAAGTTCAACAACCGTTCATTTCCCAAAAATGATCTAAATTCAAAATCAGAGCACCATGCACATCTTTAATGAAAGTTAATAACCTCATCTGCAAAACAAACAACATCTTCTGATTTTGAAAACTGTTAGAGTGCTTATCCTGAAAAATGATGTAAACCTACATTATACATACAAGTGACTAAGTTCAACAACTGCTATATTCCCTATAAATGATCTGAAATCAAAACTCAACTATCTTGTACATCATTGGTGTATGTACAATCAATCTGCAAAAAAACTAGAAATATGTCCATAGGACATGAATGCCCTGCTGAGGGTATATCAGTAATGCAACTTGAAAATTTGTATTAGTGTATGAAATCTGATGAGAATATCTTGAAGTTTCTTTAAAATTGAAATCTTCTAAAAGTTGGATATAGATAATAAATTATCAACAAATTATGTATAAGTCATAAGCGTACATAAATATATTTTAAATGGTTTCTTTAAAATTAAGCAAAATGCAAATTTAAGAAAAGTGAGGTCAAGGTAAAACAAATTTGATGCAGTTGAATAGCTCTCATCAGTATGTATTAGCATACGAAGTTTGATAATACTATCCTGAATGGTTTCTTTAAAACTGAGCTAAACACTAATTTGAGAAAAGTAAGGTCAAAGTGAAAGGAAAGGTCAAGGTCAAAAAATGATGATGCAGTTGAATAGCTCTCATTACTATGTATTAGGATATGAAGTTTGAAATATCTTGAATGGTTTCTTTAAAACTGAGCTAAACACTTATTTAAGAAAAAATGATGTCAAGGTCAAAAGAAAGGTCAAGGTAAAAAAATGTGGATGCAGTTGAATAGCTCTCATCAGTATGTTTCAGCATATGAAGTTTGATAACACTATCCTGAATGGTTTCTTTAAAACTGAGCTAAACACTAATTTAAGAAAAGTGAGGTCAAGGTCAAAGGAAAGGTAAAAAAAAAATGTTGATGCATTTGAATATCTCCTATCAGGATATATCAGCATAAGAAGTTTGAAAACACTGTCCTGAATGGTTTCTTTAAAACTACTTCACACTAATTTAAGAAAAGTGAGGTCAAGGTCAAAGGAAAGGTCAAGGTCAAAAAATGTTGATGCAGTTGAACAGCTTTCATCAGTATGTATCAGATATAAAATACCTTCAATGGTATCTTTAAAAATAAGCTAAACACTACTTTAGGAAAAGTGAGGTCAAGGTCAAAGGAAAGGTCAAGGTCAAAAAATGTTGATGCAGTTCCATAGCATTCATCAATATCCATCAGCATATGAAGTTTGATTAAAATATCTTAGATAATTTCTTTGAAAATGAGCTTTGAACTGACCTAAATGCAAAGCACGATGGAAGGACAAACAGAAGGACAGGAGGATGGAAGGACAGAAGATGAACATGACAAACACTAGGAGTACTCTGGAAGATAGAACATGTTCAACCTCTGCTATTTTCCCCCATCAAACATCAAAATTCAAAATCAGAGTACTCAGTAGATCCTTAATACATGTATATATATAATTTACCTGCAAAATATTAATTTCTTATTTTCAACAATTTACATGTAGCAAGATGTATCCAAACAATGTTGTACTCTCTTATATTCTGCAGCACAAAAATGACTGAAGTTCAATAACTTAACAATAACAATAACCATAATTGATCAAAGTCTAAATCCAAGTACCAAGTATCAAACTACATGCTTCCATGTCAATATAACAAATGGCTTTGTTGTACTTGAGATTTTTTTTTTTAATTTTCCCATATATTCCTTTGTAAAAATTTGATCTCCCATTGTGGCTCCTCCCTATCCCATGGGTCATCATTTGAACAAACTTAAATCTACACTACCTGAGGATGCTTCCATATCAATATGACTAAACATAGCTTTTCTGTTCTTGAGAAGCATTTCTTTTTTCTATATGTTCTTATGTAACTTTCAATCCCCCACTGTGGCTCCACCCTCCCCCAGGGGGTCATCATTTGAACAAAATTGAATCTACACTACCTGAGGATGCTTCCATATCAAAATGCTAAACATGATTTTCTGTTCTTGAGAAGAAGATATTCTCCTATATGTTCTATGTAAAATTTTCGATCCCCCATTGTGGCCCAACCCTATCCCCGGGGGGTTATCATTTTAACAAACTTGAATTTACACTACCTGAGGATGATTCCGTATTACAATGAATAATCATAGCTTTGCAGTTCTTCTTCAGAAGATATTTTCCCATATATTTCTATGTAAGACTTTGACCCTCCATTGTGGGCCCCACCCTTCCCCCGGGGTTCATTTTTTGAACAAAATAGAATCTACACAATAAGGATGCTTCCACATAAATATGACCAATCAGGGCTTTGTTGTTCCTGACAAGATTTTTAAAATTTTTCCTATATATTTCTATGTAAAACTTTAATCCTCCATTGTGGACCCACCCCACTCCGAGGGGTCATGATGTGAACAAACTTGAATCTTCACTGCCTAAGGATGCTTCCATATAAATATGACCAATAAGGGCTTTGCTGTTCTTGAGAAAATTTTTAAAGATTTTTCCTATATATTTCTATGTAACTTTGATCCTCCATTGTGGCCCCATCCTACCCCCGGGGGTCATGATTTGAACAAATTTGAATCTACACTACCTGAGGATGCTTCCATATAAATATGACTCATTTTGGCTTTGCTGTTCTAGAGAAGAAGATTTTTTAAGATTTTTCCTATATATATATATATATATATATATGAAACTTGGATCCTTCATTGTTGTGGTCCCGCCCTACCCTGGGGGTCATGATTTGAACAAACTTGAATCTTCACTACCTGAGGATGTTTCCACATGAGTTTTATCTTTCCTGGCCCTGTGGTTCTTGAGAAGAAGATTTTTAAAAGGTGCTATTTATTTTTCACTAATTCTTAATTATCTCCCCTTGAAAGAGGGCATGGCCTTTCATTTGGACAAACTTTAACCCCCTTCACCCAAGGATGCTTTGTAGCAAGTTTGGTTGAAATTGGCCCAGTGGTTCTAGAGAAGAAGTCGAAAATGTGAAAGTTTACAGACAGAGGGAGGGATGGACAGACGGGCTACATACAAAATGTGATCAGAAAAGCTCACTTGAATTTTGAGCTCAGGTGAGCTAAAAACGATGTAAAAGCTACATTATACATACAAATGACTAAGTTCAACAACTGCTATTTTCCCTATAAATGATCTGAAATCAAAACTCAACTATCTTGTATATCTTTGTATGTACAATTAACCTGCAAAAAAAGTCTTTATCCTGAATACTACAAGAGAGGAAAACTGGATAAATGATGAGAACTGTAATCAATACTTTCCATAAAATTCACCCAGTTCATCTGCTAATATACCTCTCCTAAGTGATCAAAACTCAAAATTTAGGTACCAAGTTCATTTTTCAGGGATAGATAATTGATCCCCAATTGTAGGAGTACTCTGGAAGATAGAACATGTTCAACCTCTGCTATTTTCCCCCATCAAACATCAGAATTCAAAATTATACAGTGGACCCTTAATATATGTAATGTACAATTTACCTGCAAAATGTTAATTTCTTATTTTCAATAATTTAGCAAGATGTATCCAAACAAATGTTCTCTCTCATATTTTGCATAAAAATGACCGAAGTTTAATAACTGCTATTTGAACCATAGATGACCAGAAATCTAAAGCCAAGTACTACACAAATACTTAATGTATGTTCTATTGAACTGCAAACCAAAAACTTCTCATTGTAAAAACTGTTGGAGAAGTTAGCCAAATAAATGATGAACCCAGTATGCAATATTTTGCATAATAATGATGTGATAATTTTAACAACTGGTACCTTTATAGATGATCAAAAATCAAAGTCGAAGCATCATATTCATCTCTGATGAACATTTCTTTGATCTGCAAAATAAAAAAAATTAAGTGCCCCGCCACAGCATGATACGCCCGTCAAATATTGTTCAATTCTCATAAACAGTTTAGAGTGCAAGAAAATCATGTCAACCTTGATGCAAGGATTTCAATGATTTTTCCATTCCTTTTAATAATTGTTTATACATCTCCTGTGGTGTAGGCTATTAATTATAACAAATATTACATTGATATAGATCCTCAACTGGTTGTGTTAGAGCTTGACAAATGTCCATCTGCACCCCCCCCCCCCAGCTTCCAGATTTGTGAGACATGATGCTCTGAATTAGTTGATATTTTCAAAATATTAAATAACAAGATGTGTTTGTGAAACACTGATGCCCCCGTATGGCAGCTTATGGCGAAGGTTAAAGTTTCTTCAAATGCAAGTCAAAATCCAGGCCAAAAGATAAGAAAAAATGTTGATACCCTAAGAAAGATCTTGTCTCGAGGAATACACCTGTGAAATTTGAAAGACCTAGAAACAACTGTTAAAAAGTTATGGCTTAGGTTAAAGTTTTTTAGATAAAAGTCAAACGTCAAGGTCAAGGTCAAAGTGGTTAGTATCCAAAGGAAGATCTTTTCACAAGGATTACATATGTGAAGTATGAAAGCCCTAGCACCAATGGTTAAGGTTAAAGTTTTTCAAAAGTAGGTCAAAGTCCTAGGTCAAGGTCAAAGGGTCAAAGTGGTTGGTATCCAAAGAAGGTCTTGTCACAAGGATTACATATGTGATGTATGAAAGCCCTAGCACCAACCATTCAAAAGTATAATGGCCAAGGTTAAAGTTTTTCAAAAGTAGGTCAAAGTCCTAGGTCAAGGTCAAAGGTTCAAAGTGGTTGGTATCCAAAGAAGGTCTTGTCACAAGGATTACATATGTGAAGTATGAAAGCCCTAGCATCAACCATTCAAAAGTTACAGCCCAGGTTAAAGTTTTTCAAAAGTAGGTCAAACTCCTAGGTCAAGGTCAAAGGGTCAAAGTGGTTGAAATCCAAAGGAAGGTCTTGTCACAAGGAATACACATGTGAAGTTTGAAACCCTAAGCACCAACTGTTCAAAAGTTATGGCCAAGGTTAAAGTTTTTCAAAAGTAGGTCAAACTCCAAGGTCAAGGTCAAAAGGTCAAATTTGTTGGTATCCAAAGGAAGGCCTTGTCACAAAGAATACACCTGTGAAGTTTGCATAAAAATATCATATTAAACAATATCAATTTAGTCTTAACAACTTAATCTATATCAAATTCATATTAAAATAAAAGGCTGGCCATCAAATGACATATGCTATAAACTGACCAGCAGTTCTTCTGTCTAATTCCCAAAGGATACAGATAACAGCTGCTTGATCAGAGATCATCTAACAGAAATGATTGAGACAGCTAGCCTCCCTACACTGAACTCATTAATTAATCTTTAACTGCATGGATGCATGTCCACTCATTAATCCCAATGGATGAATGAATCTATACACACTATCTGAAAATGCATATTTATGTCATTCTGAAATTAAATTTGAAAACAAAGTTTTTTTTTTAAATTTGTTACAAAGATTTATAAAAAGAAACAAAAAACTTGTGTAATCTTGATGCAACATTCTTAATAAGGTTCCTGCAATTTACTCTTAGATTTGTAGGGACTATCTACCATAATTAAAAACATCTTTTTTTAAATACTTGATTTTTTTTAAGATTTAATGTCAGACTGGTTTTAAGCTGCAATCCCGAGTATAATTAGTTTTAATTATATTATATAATAATTATATTAATTATATTATTTAAATTATAATTTGTTATACAATATCAAATAAGTTTTAATTACTTTTCACCAAATTCATTTTAAAAGTTTGGCTAGCCAACTATTTAATCCAACACAGCTGATTCTTTTTGCCCAGTTCCCAAGAGATATAGATAACACCTGCTTGATCAGAGATACTGCAACACTCTTGCATTTTTTGGGATTGTGTAATCTAATAGAAAAAAAAACATTTTTTTAAAAATTTCACTTAAATTAAAGGTCACAGTGACCTTGAAATAGGTCGCGACACACCTTCTACCTAAGATGCATAAATTGACCAAGTTTGATGATTCTAAGTCTTATAGTTTTCTAGTTATGAGCCGGACAGGATTTTTCCATATTTGGCCATACATGTAGCATCTTAATCAAAGGTCAGAGCGACCTACTTTCAATGTGCGACACACCTTGTACCCAAGAAGTATCATCTGACAAAATTTGATAATCCTAAGCCTAATAGTATTAAAGTTATGAGCCGGACACGATAAAAGCTAACAGACGGACGGACGGACAGATGGACGGACGGACGGACATGAACGCCATAACATAATACGTCCCGTCTAAAGACGGGCGTATAATGATATCTTTAAAACTGTTGAAGGAGTTATCTGGAAAAATCAACTTGAAGTACACTTGTTAGTAATATAAGACATTAAATGGCTAAATTAATCAACTGGTACTTTCTTATCAATGACCAAAAATCAAACTCCAAGTGCAATGTGCATCTCTATTGTATGTTTATTAGACTTGAACAATTCGAAACCTATATTCCCTTTCATGGGATTTCTTTTAGCAGAAAACTGAAGGAGGTATTATCTGCAGAAATGTTGTACCCTAAAAGTAATATTTTGCATCAAATTGACATGTTCAACAGTTTGTATCTTTTTCATAAATGACCAAATACCAAACAAAGGTGCCACGAATATCAATGATGTAAAAACATTCAGGAAAAATGTCCTTAGGTTTAGATATGTAGGAGCTATCTGGACAAATAAAATGAACCCTTTATGCAGGAGTTGACAAATCAAGAATACCAACAAGTATTTTTGTCATAAATGATCCAAAACAAAGTCCAAACACTTATCGACTCTCTTCCAAATGTACAACTAATTTGCATACCCAATAAGCAATACTTTGCACAAACATCTGGTATTTTCCCAGTCACTAATCAAAAATCAAAATCAATGTACTAAACATATCTCTTATATAAATATGTACAATTTCTCTGCACAACAAACTCCTTACTTTGAAAACTGTTGATGGAATTATCCAGACATTTGACATACCAAAACCAGCAATATTTGGTATCAAAAATGATGAAGTTCAACAACCGCTCATTTTCCAGAAATGGTCTAAATTCAAAATCAGAGCACCATGCACATCCTTAATGAAAGTTTATAACCTCATCTGCAAAACAAACAAGACCTTCTGATTTTGAAAACTGTTACAGTGGTTATCCTGAGAAACGATGTAAAGCTACATTATACATAAAAATGACTAAGTTGAACAACTGCTATTTCCCCTATAAATGACTATAAACCATGCAACAACTTTCCAACAATTGTATTTGGTTTGTGTTTTATACCAGAGGCCATGAAAATCACAATTTTGAAAGAGGCATCATTGCTAATCATAACTTAATAATACACTTAGCATGCTTACTTTGATTTCTTAATACTCAGAGGCAGATCAGAGGAACAAAGAAAATCAAAGGCCTGAAGGCCTGAGAGAAGCATCACATTGAAGACAGAAAAACTCAAAAAAAATTCTCAGAAAAATTCAACAAACATGTTGAGGGAAAATCAGGAATAAAAATAAAAATTAAAATATCCTTTCTTTGAGGTTGAAAAATGTTGTTTGTTTTATTCTTTCATTATTATCATAGTAGAAAGATGAAATAATGAATGATAATTTAGAAAGGAATGATTATTGGATAATTCTATATAATTTAATATCTGAATTTTTTTTTAGTTTCTTTCATTTTGTGAACTTTTTAAAATATCAATACTTTGTCTTAGACTAGTTTTCTCAATCAAAAATGGCATAATACGTAAACCATAGTGCAATACATGAAATGTTCATATAAATAATACGGAACTAAAAAAAAAAAAACAATCGGGTGTGGTATACCGTATACTATGAAACACATCAATGGCGGCCAATTTCCTCCGATATATTTTTGATAAAATTGGTTATAAAACCTTGGCGGTAAGGATTGAACTCAAAACTTATATGTTTATAAGGTATCAGTAATCCTATAAATTGATATCCACAGTTATTGCAGTTTTTATCAGTCATTTAATCATATTCAACCAACATTTCACCAAAAACCGATCATTTCACCATTTCATGTCACCTTCGTGAAATGTTTTACCCTAAAGGTGGCGCTTGTTGCAAAATTTTTTTCAGTTGGACATCTTACTATTCGTTTCATCGAGTGAAAAAATAATATCCCTTCTATTTCTATAAAAAACAACCATCTTGTTCCAATTGCTAGTGATGTTTAATAAAACAAGAGGCCCAAGGGCCTTAACGGTCACCTGAGTATAATACAACAATTTAGAAGTTAAATACACTGATAGTTGAAGCTTTGTTGCCCTAAAGCAAGAGAAGTAGGAAGATCAACAAAATAATTAGTCTAGTATTCAGTAGCAACTCATAAATTAAGTTCTAATCTGTCCCCCACTTAACTCTATGCAGACTATTAACAAACTATTAGTGCTTCTGTACTTTTTATAAACCCATATTAAGACCTCTAGCATTGACCTCTCTTATGGACTTTGAAGAACTTTTAATAACTTAAAGATAAGTTATTTTTGTCTCATTTTTATTTATCTATTACTTACAGGTCTACCTGTTTATTAAAATTAAGAAAGAACTTTTTTAATTATACGATAAACATTCTTGTATAATTATCTTATTCTATTAACCTTTCAAATACATATTTACAGTGATTAATTATCAAAGGTGAATGGAAAAGGGGAATAACTTCTCTCAGTAGAATACAAATTAATAGAGCCCTGCCCAGGACCAGAATGCTTAGACCAATGGTCCAGATGTTTAAAAATCTGGTAGAAATACGCTTACTCATATCATTTAAACTTTTACTCAGTTTGCTTCCAATATGCCCAGAAGCAGAGAAGAATTTCACAGGTACAATGCATTTTCACTACAGATTCAACAAAGTCTTACCCTAACACCAGAA